AGCCAGGGATATAGCTCAGTGGCTTAAGTACCTGACTGGCAAGTTCAAAGTCTCAAGTTCAATCCCTGGTACTATAAAAATAAATAAATAAATAAAATAAAAAGCATTAGAAATGATACAAAATTTCACTGAACAAAGTTCAACAATGGTTGTTGTATTACATGATGTTATCTTCAAATTAGTTGTTGAGGTTACCAGATATAAACGTAAAACTCAGTGTGGTGACATATGCCGTGACGTCAGCTATTCTGGAAACTGAGGAAGGAATATTTACCTGTAATTTTGAAAGACCCTGTCTCAAAATTCAAAATAAAGAGTAAAAGGGCTGAGGGGGCCCTGGGTTTTATCCCCAGTAAACAAAGAAACAAAAAACAGTACCAAAATGTCTTACAGGCTGGGTAGCACCTGGAGAAGTTTAAGGCTTGAAACATTTAGGACTGCCAACAGAGCCATATCAGCATCCAGACAGTAGAAGAAGGACCAGACAGGATGTAATTATGTCAGAGTAAATATTGGCTTCTCAAGAGATTTACAATTAAAGATTTCAGTGATATGTTCTACATTATGAATTTCTTTTGAGATTTTAATATATTTTTTAACAGTTCTAGCAGAACAAGACAGTGCCGCTGCTCAGCAGTATATCAGACAAGGAAGTCCCACTGCACTGAGAGCTGAACTGTGGGCCCTCATTTTAAATATTTCCAGTCAACCAGAGGTAAGAAAAATAGTGGTCAAATTTAAGCTAGTAATGCTTATTTTTCAAAGATCAATTATTAAAAATAGAAAAATGTTTTTTTCCTAGTCTGCTATTCTTTGTATTTTTAAAATATAGTTTTGAATCCTACAATCAGTGCACTTAAGACAGCTTTTGTTATTCATAATTAATCAAGGAGTTTGACCTTATATATAACAAAACAATGCATAAAATTTTGAAAAATAAGTTGATTATTTAGATCAGTGAAGATGTGTGGTAGAATTATAATGTTAGAATGGGAAGGGAAACTCAGTAAAATAAGTGAGTTCATTGCTCTTACAGTTATCTTTGAAATATACAATAATTCTGTGGTTCTGAAATTTGACAGATTGTATAAAAATACTATTTTTCCAAGCATGAGAATATTTGTCATAGGAAATGTAATAAATATAAAGTGGAAATCACCAACAGGCAACTAATGGACTTAATGAAAAATTATATGGGACACTGATCATTGCTTCTGCCTGACACATTCATTTTGGAATATGTATAAATATAGTATACGTTCATTTGTCATATAAGTTAGCTATTAAAAAATTTTAATGACTATCACACTAATAGCTCCTTAGCCTATGATTTAAAATATCAATTTTAGATTGATATAAATGTAGTTTCAATTTCTAGCTCTCTCAGATTAGTATAAAGTACATCAGTGAGCAAGTGGCTTACATATTTTCTTTAATACATAAATGTAGATAGTAATATTTATAATAAAATTATTATGACAAATATAAACAATAATTTTAAGGATCTTTTAATACAGTCCTTGGCGTGCAAATGGATACCTCTAATGTTAGTAGTCATAATGATTACATAAATCATATAATTATAATATAAATTATAATTAACAATAAGAAAATAAAAATTATTAATATGTAGAATAAAACTGCCAGGGATATAGCTCAGTAGAATAAGCACCTGCGTGGCAAGCCCAAGGTCCCAGTTTTATCCCCAGTACCAAAAAAAACAAAGACATGAGTATAATAAAAGTTATATATGTAGCCATTGCAAATTACCTATGTATGCATGTATGTTTTAAATCTCTGTAAATAGCTGTGTTAAAAATCACTTTATTTTTAAAATAATAAAATTTGTGATTTCAGTGCAATTTTGGGCAAAATGATATTGCTAATCTTTTGTGGTACCATTTTCTTATTTTTTTTTCTTTTTTTTCCATAATTTTATTGAGAAACAAATAGCAATGAGACAGTTTCAAACCAAATTGGTAGGACAGATTCAATAATTAACGCATTGCATGCATTTTTCCTAGTGGTTAATTGCTGTACAAGATGCGGACATGATATCCTATTTACAAACACTATTAGAACAAATCCCTCTATTCATTAAGAGAATGTAACTATATATCTGTCCTAACCACTTTGAATACACAGATACAAAATGGTCATTCATCTGTATCCCCTTTTTTTTTAAGTTCCGTTATTTGAATATTATAGGTGTGTTAACTCAACACAATATTCTAAAAGAGTCCCGTAGTCCATAATAGTATTGGGTCTTCCGCATGACTGATAATGTCAGAAATTGTTGACAAGAATCCCCTACAGCTCAACATAACAGCATGACTTTACTTCTTATACTTTGTTTTTATACTTTTCTGCTGGATGGTTAAGACCAAGGTAAAGCAAGACCTATGCAGCAAGAGTTGTAGCTTTTGGTCTGATAAGGTCAGTGAAATCCCCTCAGGATTTATCCTGAGATCCTGTATGTGGTACCATTTTAGAGGTAACCTTTAACCAAATAAGTTTTAATGTAAGTGGAGTCTTTTATTTTGTGTGTGTGAGTATATCAGTTCTTTTTTTTAATGGTCCATCTAATCTGTCATGATAAGATACTACAGTATGTTTTATTTTTTGGTATAATTGGTAGTGAAATTAATACAAAATTAGAAGTCCTATCAATATAAGCATAAAAAGCATAATGGTAAGATTAAGAAAAGTTTGTATAAATCACAATATTGACACCAATTGAAAGTTAGGCACATGATATAATTGTTTTGATATATGTAGGTCTCTTGTTTGAAAAAGAAAAACATGCATTTTGAAAATAAAACCTTTGCTAATCTCCAAGTTGTGTAAACAAATGAACTTTTCAAAAATGTATGTTCCTGGGCTGCGTGATAGCTCAGCAGTCCAAGTATCTGCCTAGGCAAGTGCAAGGACCTGGGTTCAATCTCTGGTACCACATGCTGTGCCAGCCCCACCCTGGGTGTGCTGAGCCGGCCACCAAGACCAGATGTAGTGGCACCCAGCTGGTAATCCCAGCCACTGGGGAGGCTGAAACAGAAGGATCACTATGAGTCCAAGCTATATAGTGAGATCCTGCACCAAATATATAAAATACATGTATGCACGTCTTGATATGTATACATGTCTCTTAAATGTCTCAAATTCAAAAATTTCTCTTTCCTGCTGGGCATTGTGGCACATATCTATAAGCCCAGCACTCGGGACAATGAGTCAGGATGTGAGCTCAACACCAGCCTGGGCCACAAAGTGAGCTCAAGACCAGACTGAACTGCATAGCAAGACCCTGTTTCAAAAAAGACAAGAAAAAGAAACTGAAAAAAGAAAAAAAAATTTACATAAAATTTGAATTATGTATATAAAGATAATCAAAATCAAAGCTAATGAGAAAACCTATCCATTAAAAAAAGGAATAAATGTATTTTTAGTAGGCTACATATCCCAATAATAAAAACAAAATTAAAATAACAGAGTAACCTTACTAGTAAGCAAGAAATACATTTCAATTCACCTTGTTTATTGAGAAGAGAATATATATTTTTAAAGTCAATGGCTTCCACAAAAATATATTATGTCAATGTTTTTATAATAAAGACTACAAATACATAATTCAGACCTTTACAAGTGATTGACTAAAGAGCACAGCAAGAAAACATTCTAGGGTGTTTCCAGCTGGGAGTATATTTTCTCGAAAATTTATGAAAGAATATTGACAACATAATGCTCATTAAATTTATATAGGTCTTTACTAAATAAGGAAATTACCAATTAGGCGTAAATATAGATAGATTTTCACCAATATGACTTCTTGTAGTTGATAAATCTGTTCACTGAATATTTTGCCCACATTGCTTATGTACATAGGTTTCCAAATTGGTATAAGATCAAAGCACATGAAAACTCACTAAAAGTTTTTTCTAAAGTATTCTGCTTGTGTAGGGTTATTCATCTGTGCGAGTTCATGTATAGTAAACCTTCTCACATTGAGAAACCGTTTACAAACCCTTTTACAAACCTTCTCACAAAAGGTTTATCCTCATTGTGAGTTCATGCCTTTGGTAACAATTGTGTGTACTGAATCATTTCCCACATTGCTTGCACACATAAGGTTTCTTCCTAGCATGAAGTCTTTCATGTATTTGATAATAGTTCTGTGTAGTAAAACCTTTCCCACATTGCTTACATACG